GAATGAATTGCTTGGTGTTCCCTAAGGATTGAAGGATAGTAAAAGGTCTTGCCACATTCCTCACATTTGTAAGGTTTCTCTCCAGTATGACCTAATTTGTGCTGAGTAAAGTATGAGTGAGTATAAAAGGCTTTGCCACAAATTTCACACTTGTAAGGGTTCTCTTGAGAATGAATTCTTTGATGTTCCTTAAGGCGAGAAGGATAATAAAACTTTTTGCCACATTCCTCACACTTGTAGGGTTTATGGCCAGTGTGAACTATCTTGTGATGAGAAAGGTATGAATGAGTAGAAAAGGCCTTTCCACATTGCTCACACTTGTAGGGTTTCTCTCCAGTATGAATTCGCTGGTGTCTAGAACGTCCTGAGCGCGTACAGAAGTCCTTGCCGCATTCTTCACACCTGTATGGTTTCTCTCCAGAATGAATTGCTTGGTGTTCCTTAAGGACTGAAGGATAGTAAAAGGTCTTGCCACATTCCTCACATTTGTAAGGTTTCTCCCCAGTATGACCTAACTTGTGATGAGTAAGGTATGAGAGAGTGTAAAAGGCTTTGCCACATTCTTCACACTTGTATGGTTTCTCTCCAGAATGGATTCTCAGGTGTTTAGAAAGTTGCCAGCAAGTTCTAAAGACCTTGCCACATACTTCACACTTGTAGGGTTTTTCTTGAGAATGAGTTATTTGATGTTGCTTAAGGTTTGAAGAACAGTAAAACATTTTGCCACATTCTTCACATTGGTAAGGTTTCTCTCTAGTATGACCTATCTTATGCTGAATCAGGGAAAGATGACTAGGAAAGGCTTTCCCACATTCTTCACACTTGTAGGACTTCACTTCACAATCAATTTTCAGCTGTTTAGATACTGAATGGAGTGCACAAAAGGCATTGCCACATTCTTCACACTTGTAGGCTTTCTCTCCTGGATGAATTCCCGGGTGATCAGAAAGCATTGAGCAAGCACTAAAGGCCTTAACACATTCTTCATACTTGTAGGGCTTCTCTTCAATACAGAATCTCTGGTCATCAGAAAGTTCTATGGGAGAACAAAAGTCCTCGCTACATACTTCAATCTTAAAGGAATTCTCTTGGAAATGAATTCTTTGATGTTCTGTAAGGTGAGAATGACAATAAAACAGTTTCCCACATTCTTCACAGCTGTAGAATTTTTGTTCAGTGTGTTCTACCTCGTGCTCAGTAAGACATGAGTAAGTGGGGAAGGCTTTTCCACATTCTTCACACTTGTAGGGGTTCTCTCCAATACAAATTCTCTGGTAGCTAGAATGTCCTGAGCAAGTACAAATGGCTTTGCCACATTCTTCACACTTGTAGGCTTTCTCTCCCATATCAATTATCTGGTGTTCAGAAAGTACTGAGCAAGAATCGGAAGCCTTACCACATTCTTCACACTTATAGGCTTTCTCTCCTGGATGAATTCTCTGGTATTCAAGCAGTGAGTCCCAATCACAGGCTTTGCCACATTCTTTACATTTATATGGTTTTATATCTGGCGAGTAAAAGTTGACATGTGAATAAAAACTGAGTGACAATCTTATATTTACAATGCTTACCTTTAATATGGGGACCTTTACTCACATTTTTATAGGTAAATGAGAAATTACAAATTTCTACACCTATATTCACTGCAGTGTAATTCAGAACATGCAGTGAGTGGAAACAATATAAATTTCCACTGAAAGAAGAGGAAGACAAAATAGAATGCAGAAATAATGGAATATTATTAACAGTTTAATAGCAAAGGAAGATGTACTATCAATAATAATGGTAACTCTTAGGGCATTATGTTCACAGAAATGAACCCATTAAAATGTATAAATTATATGAACAGAGACAGATGAAAAATATAAATAGCTAAATGTGGAAAACATTACATTAATGGTGATTGTCAGAGGTTGGAAGAATGTAGAAATACACAATTTATATCCTTAGTTTTAATTTGGAAGGCACAAAATATATACTGTAGAACAAACTCTCCATAATATTAAGTATGATATTTCAGGGAGTTAAGTCAGGAAGCTATATGTTGTATTTTCACAAGAAATAAGTATCTAAAAGAATCAAATTATGAAAAGAAAAAAGTTAACAAGTTCACCTGTAATGATAGAACCTTTGCTAAAGGCACATATCAGTCAAAGAAGAAATGATAGAACCAGCCCCACTTCTAAGATAACACAATCTTACAACAGTCAGTGATGAGATGGTGCGCAAGGCATGGGAACCAGAGACGTGTGTGCTCATGTGTACAAATCAAGTGGAAACACACACTTCTGATGCTCACAGAACCAAAGCTCCCTGATGCTTTTTAATCTTACACTGTCCTAAAGTGTTTAGTATTATACACTTCATCCACAAAAAACATATAGCTTACATGTAAACAAATGATTTTAGACAACCTAGACTTCATTAATACAGAAAATAAAGTTGTAAAATAATGAAAAGAGAATCTTGAACCCACTAAATCCTGAAAAACAACTGATAAGCTATTAAAAACATTCTTTAGACATGTAAGGTTTTAACCTAGGAAAATATACCCACAAAGGGCATGTGTTTTAGATCAGTAACACTGAATATAGGAGAGAAAAACTTTGAGAATACATTGCAATCATTCATGGCGATTATGAAAAGATTTAAATTAGCATACATGTAAGTGATGTGAAAGAAATGTATTTGTGATTATATTGTATGATAATGGACTCATGTCTTTAAACATAAGTATAGGAAACAGTCCGTTACAATGCAGACTCTCAGAAAAATGACAAACTTTGTTGTTACTGTAAACACAAGCAGAGCTCTCTGGGGGGAACAAAGCTTAGACACTTAAAGCATCATAGGTAGATGAATAAATGAATGAATGAATGGAATATCTAAAAACTGATTTCCATCACAGTGTAAGATCTCAGTGCACATGGTAAAGCCTGGCCTTCTGTTGGAAAGCCCACTGACCCTCTGCCCCTCATTTCTACGCACCTGTTTGTATGGCAGCTGCTTGTCTCTTCACATCTGAAGGCTCTTGTCTTTGCTCTAGAAAGGTGACCAGGTATGGCTTAGAGAAAGCAAGCCCTGATTGTGGGGAAAAAGAACAAGATGGTTGGTGTGTTATTCACCTGGGAAATAACATGTCTACTCCAGGATTGTGCCCTTAGAGGGAAAAAGGATATACTCAGCTTCAGTTCTGTCATTTACAAATAAACAAATAAATAAAATTAAAACTTAAGGGTGGGCCTCATGTCTGTGAATTCCTGGCATTACCACTAGAGTGAAGGATACTTTAAGAAAGAGCCAGGTTAAAAAAACAAGAAGAAATAAAAACAACAAATTGTCTTAGTTACCTTTAACAATCTCTCTAATTCTTCCTTAGATGTAGGCCATGACCCTCACTGTCGGAAAGTACAAGCTCCCATGAGATGTTTTATAAAAGGAATTTAATGTTGACCTTGAATTAAGAATCCAATATGAGCCAGGCATAGTGGCACTTAATACCAGCACTTGGGACGGAAGCAGAGACAGGAGGATCTCTGAGTTCAAGGCCAGTCTGGTCTACACAGAGTTCCAGAAAGCCAGGACTACATAGAGAGACTCTGGTTCAAAAAACAAACCAAACCAAAAACAAACAAAAAAATGAAAAAAACAACCAAACAACAACAACACAAAAACCACACATATACACAAAAAAGAATTCACTATAGATGCAATCCTCACCCAGAAACACAAGGTTGCTGTAATTCTCCAGCATCACATCCCTGTACAGACTCCACTGAGCAGGGCCTAGGCATTCCCACTCCTCTGCAGAGAAATCAATGGCCACATCCCTGAATGACAGCATTTCCTGAAATAAGGAGAAATGAACAATAGATTATATTAATTAAAACCAATAACATAGATACCAATTGGCATCCTGTGCTTATGAATACATTCTTAGGAAGTATAGCAATAACAACACTTTGTTAATATTTAAAATAATTAGATATCACTAACATTCTTACATTTTCCCCTTTCCTGCTTTCTGTGATGAAGATTTATCAGACATGTATTCGTGTATTTACCATGTTCATAAGCAGTCTTTGAACTCATGAAAACTTCAGCTTAGTCTGCTGAGTACAAGAATGATAAATTGTGATGTTAATTATTATTTTCCCTTATTTTTATTTTTTTTTTTACATTTTAGTGTTGAGTTGCTTTTCATCTGATCGCATAAAGTTCTCAAATGGTCAATGACAGCAATACATTATTTTTTCCTATGGTTACATAATAGAAAATGAGAGATTTGCATGTTAAAGGGGGTATTCTGTAATATTGTTACAGGTAGACTGTGCATTTGTCTTTATATCAATTTTAGAGTGGTCATTTCCTCAAACATTTAATTTTTAAGTTTAAAATGTCCAAAGTCCTTAGGACAGGTGTGGTGGTTCGCATCTTTAATCCCAGCACTTGAGAGGCAGAGGCAGGTGATCTCTGTGAGTTCCAGGGCAGCCAGGATTATATAGAGACCTTGTCTCAAAAAACAGAACAAAACAAACAAAAAACACTGTTTTCTCATCTTCTGTAATATACTGCAAAATGGTTACTTATAGTCACCATTCTGGACAACATTTGCTATAGCTTTTTCCTTCTGACTGTATAAGAGCACTGACTTGTCAACATTTCCCAATGACTACCTTTCCTGATGTCACTGACTGATGGGAAAAAAAAAACATTATTTCTCCAACTTCTATAAGTTAAAATTCTTGAGTACTTGCCTTTCTCTACCTAAAGTAATAATTTCCTGGCTCTTCCATATTGACCCAAATTACAGGATTTCATCGTTTTGTGTGACTGAGCAGTTTCATACTGTAAACATGTGCACCATAATTTCATTGTCAAAAAATCAAGTAAATTACAGAACTCAGTTTTCAGCCATGTTTTGGTGACTGTCAGCCATGTTTTGGTGACTGTGAAACCACAGAAACAGGAATATAAAATAAAATTGAAGTATTCATGCTATAAGAATATTGAGGACAGCTTTGTACCTGAAATAAGCAAAGGAAGCTGCTAAAGGGTCAGAAAAACAAACCTAGTAAAATAACATTTACACTTGCTGCAGCATCAGTAAAACAGGAAGTAACCTTAGAAAAGCAGCCGGAAGTGTGTGCAGCTCTGACAACAAGGAAATGTGCAACTGTGTAGAGCATGTATCCTAGGAGGATGGTAATTCTGCCCATTTTAATGATACCACTGAGAGAGGTGTTTAAGAACAAGAATGAGATAGTTATTGATTCCTGTATTATTTCCACGTATGATTTCTTTTGAGCTTCACTCTACATTTTTATTAATTTGATAACTTTCTGTTAATCATTTCCCTTTACTGTATGAATTCAATGTATGAAGCTAACTAGTTGCTTAGGAAAAGCCATCTTGCTCTGCTTGCCACATACTACTCAGGTGTGGACCAGCAAGGCATGGTTTGAGGATAGCCTCCAATTTCCTGGTTCCTTTCTCAGGTTAAGAGTAGAAAGGCATTCAATTTCTTACAACACATTTGAAGGTCCTTTAAATTCAAGCTCATGACGGGTGGTCACTGTTATTCCCAAAGACCAAAGATCAATAAGCATCATAAAGTATACAAATAGGAAACATGAACCAGATCAAGAAAAACAAAATACTCCAAAGATGCCCTGAACACCCTACCTGTGGTAATGACCTAAAGGAGAATTCAGACAACCAAACAAAAAGGTAAGATAATATCTGCAGACATAAAATAGGAAATCAACCATGCATATGAAAAGCACAAGGACAGATCAGAAAATGCCATAGTGAGGGGCAAACAGTACAGAGAGAACAGTAGGAAGGGTCTGGCAGAAGGAAGCCTCAGCAAACAGGAAGCCTGCCAAAGGTTAAAGAGCATGAAGAGAGACATTGAAAACACTGAAGGCCTGGGGGGTGACTCGGCAGGTAAAAGCCCAGTCTAACCACCTGAAGTGGAACCCTAGTACCCATGGGGGTCCTAAACATACATACAGACACAATGAGGCAAGAAAAAGATAAGACAAGAAAAACAAAAACAAAAAACAAAAAATAAAAACCAACCTGAAGAGAGGGTAAAGAATTTATGGAACACTACACACAGAATAAAGGAAAAGGGGGAAACCAAAATGATGTCACATGTCTGTAATCTTAGTTCTTGGAAGCTGTAGGTGTTCAAGGCCAGTCTCATCTGCATAGAGAGTTCACAGCTAGCCTGTGATATGTGAAGAAGTCCCTTAAAAAAAACATAAAAGAAGAAAATATTTTTAAGAAATGAGGTCTTTAAGCTTACATTATGTGAAATAAGTGATGGACATAAACTAAGACTTTCCCCAAACTCCAGTCTAGACAACACTAAAGAGAGGCACAGAAGGCTAAGCAAGTTATGTAAGAATCCTGACAGGGCAGCTAGGGGCTCCTCACTCAGAAGGGACTTCTGTAAAATCCTACTGGGTTATCTCAGCAGAAGCGGCAGCCGGGGAAGCTGATAGCTCACACATGGTGGATAAAACGAACACGCATGATACACAAACAAAGCTTCGTAGCTGCTCCCAACAGACCTGGAGAGCGAGCGGAGAAGGCCACAGAACAAAAGGCTTGTCCCCGAGCCGGGGTGGAGGTGGGGGTGGGGGTACGGGGGATGGACACGGACACCGCAGTGAAGAGAAACCTCTGTATGGGAAATAGTCTTCTATCTGAACAGCAAGAGGACTTTGGGCCAACAGAGCCCTAAGGTCTCACTATGTGGTTCTGGATGTCCTGGAACTTATTATGTAGTAAGGCTGGCCTTAAACTCATAGAAATCCCTCTGCCTCCCAAGCACTGGGATTAAAGGTGTGTGCCACCTTACCCTTATGAAAAGAAAATGAGACTCTGTTGAAAGCATCTCAACAAGTAAGAGGTGAGAAACCCATCCTCCACTGTCCTTTACCTATGAGAGGGCCACCAGTCAGAAGGTGAAGTTCAACTTTCCTTCTTTTGAATGGAGGCTGGTCCTAGACACATGTCTAGATCAACAGAATGGAGCGAGCAGAAGTCATAAGAACTCCTGCATATCATGTCTGTGTCCCTCAGAGCTACTCTGACATAGATACCTAACAATCCTCAGTGCCAGGAGCTTATGGGGAAGTCAAAGCTAGATACAAAGACAGGGCTGGATTCCCAATTAACTTCTAGCTACTACTGATTCCATTTTTGGACATAGACTGTCTATGGATTAGAGAATATGCTACCTTAACATACCAGGATTTTGATAAAGCAGTCAACCCACAGGTCTCTGGCCCAGCTCTTGACTCACATGCAACTGACATGCAGATATCATTAATTCTCATTTTTAGTCAGCACATTTTGCAATACTATGACTCAGAGTGTATATTTCAAACACTGAAAATGGTATGGGAGACCATAGCTAACGTGTTTATTTGAAACATGGAATACTTGTTTAGACAACATATTAGTTTCTAAAGAAGTAGCATATGCTTTATTCTGTATGTTCAATGTGTAAATGTAACAGTGATCTTAAACTTTCAATACAATGTTACTCCATGTTCCTAATAAAATATTAAGAGCAGTCCATCTTGTCAACAGTAGGGGTTCATTCTTTTATCCATCTGATTTATTTTATGTAGCTATCTCAAAGAAGATAATAACTGCATGTATTTGAAAGAATCTGCCAGACAATCTGACACATACTTTTATTTTTCAACTCAAAATATGTCACTGCATTTGAAAACAACTATGGATAGACTCAAACACAGAAATATTTATAAACCAAAAAGAGAAGATGCTGAAAGTCTGTGCTTCTCATTTTCATTCCTTGCATATATTTCTGTCTCCTACTCAAATCTATACAAATAACTTCTGTATCTTCTCTCCATATTCTCTAACATATGCCACATAGATCACCAGAAATGTCATCATCCTGCAAACTTTCCCTTTGCAGTTTTCCAAGTACAACACGTCTAACACAACGTCACTATATGAGTTTCTTTTTTTTTTTTTTTTTTTTTTTGGTTTTTCGAGACAGGGTTTCTCTGTGTAGCTTTGCGCCTTTCCTGGAGCTCACTTGGTAGCCCAGGCTGGCCTCGAACTCACAGAGATCCGCCTGGCTCTGCCTCCCGAGTGCTGGGATTAAAGGCGTGCGCCACCACCGCCCGGCCAACTATATGAGTTTCTAAAATGAGTAAGTCCTTAGTAACTCTTTCCCTCATATCATCGTTTACACAAGCATTGGAATACAAAGACAAGAGCCTGTAAGGAAAAGGACAGAAATGTACCCCGTGGGAGACCCAACTCCTCCCAAGAAGAGGAAGAAATCCCTCATTAGCAGTTTACGGGCCGGATGTGAAGGACACTGGAGGTGTGGTTGTCACTGTCCACATGCAGAGCTGGAGTTCTGTTCTGGCTAACCATAAAGAAATGTTCCACACACTGTTGAACCTGTTGTGTAAACTGGGCAAGCCATTGAAGCTGCATAGAAACAGAGAGGAATGTAAATCATGGAGGGCTGCATCAGTTACAACTGCAGAGTGGAAAAACAGGGAAATTATAGAAGTCTCAGATGAGATGGAAAGGAACACAGACTAGAAGCATCCAGGAAAAAAACACAAGAAAGCAGCATGAGGTCACGACAGAAACTAACAAAGATTAATATCCAAAAGTAATGAATGTTCTCTGCAAATAAGCAAGGCAAAGAAGAGAATTTTTCCCCACACAGCAAATAAAACTAAATATCTAATCTCCAAAATTGAATGACTTTAACAAAAGTAAGTTAGCGAGAAAAATATTAAATTCTATGTCAAACAGAGTCAACAGAACTTATCAACCATGTGTAGAATTTTTGAAAATCAGCAAAATGTCAATTGGATAGATTTCTGTCTGGTTCCTGGTACTAAGTCAGATGACAGGAACCATAAAATACATTTGGTGCAGTCATAAGTTATTGTTTTAAAGTATGTTTTGACATGGCTCATTTAGCCTAGGCTGACCTTAAAGTCTCTAAGCGGAGGGTAACCTTGTACTCCTGACTCTCTGCTTCCACCTCTCAAATGCAGATGGCAACATTTCACCATGGACTATGCTTTGGTCAGGTGTTGTGACTGCAGATGACGTATACGTAAAGGGTTTACAAGTTATAGTGAGCAAGGGGCTGCATCATCTTTACAATGTAAGAAAGCAGCTTTGATGCACAAGGCAGTAAAAACAGAATGTTATTTTCCCACAGATTAGTGACATTAACTAGAAAGTATCTATATTAATTATAGTTACAAAGTCTACAGAAAATTCTGGTATGTAAGATAGGGTGCTTTCAAGACCACATGCTTCATATAAAACTTAGAAATAAAACATCACACACCGAAATTAACCAGACTCAAAGTCGGTACAACCTCAATGAACGTCTATACAGTTAGAATAGCCAATTGGAATGGAAGCTGTGGAGTTTCACATTCATTTAATACTTTAATGAGAAAAGTTCAATAATTTTTTTTTTTTAAAAAAACTTGTTTCTTTTGTTTTTTTTTTTTTTTTTTTTTTTTTTTTTTTTTTTGAGACAGGGTTTCTCTGTGTAGCCTTGGCCGTGCTGGAACTCACTCCTTAGTCCAGGCTGGCCTCAAACTCAGGGATCCACCTGCTTCTGCCTCCTAAGTGCTGGGATTAAAGGCACGTGCCACCACAGCCCGGCTTTAAAAAAAAATACCATTTCCTTTGAGTAGACTTCAATGCTATAAGCCAATCTCTAGCACATAAACACTTGGTTTTATTGAAGTGTGACAAAACAGGAAACATCAGAAAAGACAGGGCACGGAGTCCACTGTGTAAACATTACAGGACCTCGAGTGAACCACAATTCTTCAAATGCAAGAAATGATAAGGGAGAAGCATGGAACCCAGATACCACAATCAGTGACAGAGTCAGTTTTAGAGTTTAGACACTAGACAATGGACAACGATAGAAGAAAGCGTGTGATTAGAGAGCAAAGCAAACTGCCTGTTGTGTGTGTAGGGCTATTTCTCCTCCCCAGAGAAACTCAAGCACCTATGTCCCTTTGCTAGCAATCCCTAGACATACTTCTACCCTCACATCAACTCATCTCGAAATTCTGCAAAGGAGCCCAAGCCAATGACATCATAATCCCCGATGAAACCGGATGAAGTATTCTCTACTGTTTTTAACTCTACAATGTAGGATCAGTAATTTGTTTTGCAAAACTCGAATCTCCCCCTTGAGAGATTCTACAAGGCTCTACGTGCGAGTGTCAGAATCAGGATTCAGGTCACAGTGGTGACCATGAAGGATTCCTATTCAAAACAGCAGTTCATAAGTCTAGCAATCTATTCCAATGGCAATGAGATTAACATCCTATACGTCAATCTCCCTCGCAAAACTCTCCGTCCTTGGAAACTAGTAACTTGATGAACTTAATATCAACTGTAACAATGCTAGGCCGACTATAAAACAGGACGGAGCCAGACCTCCATTTGGTCTAGGTGTCCTGAGAAAACTGACAACAGACGGGCAAGCGTGGGTCAGCTAGTAATCAAACGCCTCCATGGCTAATCTGGAATCTGTGCCCCCACCGGCACCTCCAAGCGCAGGCTCTTAGCCGACCCACCCTGCTCGAGCAATCCTGGATTTCCCACACTTCCCAATTCCTTCCCTCCCAAGCCAACCCTCATAACAGAAGCTCCTGGTGGGCCCAGGCTGCCGCCCCCTGCTTACAGGGGGTTCACTTCCAGCACCACACAAACGCCCCCTCCCCAGCCCCAACAGGCATCCAGACGCCGTGGCCCAGCCTAGGTCCGCAGAGCACCACCAAGTCGGTTCTTCCCTCCTCCGCCTCCTCCGCGCAGGATCCGCCCATCCCGCACGGCCCCTCCGACCTGCAGAGATGCGCGGCAGCCTGGACCAACCTCCATGTCGGAGACGCGACCCGAGCGCGGAGCAGGACCCGAGAATCGCCCAACTTTGCGAGCAGAGGCGCTGGTGCAGACGCAATGCGGAAGTGCCCTCTCCACAATGGCTCCTCGGTACGCGGGTGCAGCGGAAGACTACGTTTCCCACGAGTCCGTGCGAGGGCCGAGGCGGGGAACACAGGCTGGGGATTTGCGTGTTTCCGGTGTCTCTTCCCCCGTGCCAGTGAGGAGCAAGTAAACCAGGAGCTGCGTCGCTGTGCCCGGCACAGGGAGGCAGGATGTTTTTAGAATCCCGGATTCACCACAGGAGGTGTTTGAATGTGAGTCGAGCCTTGGTCAGTAATGTTTGCAATGTATTGCTGGTCGATATGTTGCGTTTCAAAACTAAAGTCTCCTTACCATGGGATCCTATTTCCACGTGTTCACATTGACTCCATTTTACTTTAAATAACTCAGCAAAAAAAAAAAAAAAAAATTATTTGGAAATGACTACTATCTCTTTAAGATAATTTTTGAAACCAGCCCCATGTCCCACCCCCCACCCCCGCCCGCCCTTTCGTCGCAGATGCTCAGGAGCTTGAGACAAAAGTACTCCAAATCCAAGGCTAACCTGGGCAAAATAAAAGACACTGTTTTTACAGAAAGGGTTAGGGAGCATCTTAGAGGTAAAGCCCTTGGCTGGGATAAAGGAGGCCTTGGGTATAAACACACCACTACAGTAAACAACCCTGTTCTACTGAAGTAAAATAAACCTTGTGCCGCAGCCAGGGCGGGAAATTTCTTAGTGTGAACATTGGAATCCATACAGCGTAGTGCATTGCATGGTCAGGGGGACTGAGAGATGATTTAAAATCGTAGAACGAGGTTAAAAGTCCAGCTCTCTGGCTTTTACATGTAAAGAATTCTCAGAATCCACCTAAGAATCTTTTCATATGTCCACAATGCCCCTTCTCCATACATTAATCTATGGAAGAAATTTAGTTTTTGTGAGCTGTAGCAGGACCCTCGCCTCCCCCTGCCCCCACCACAATCATGGATTCACATTCAGGAGTGTGCTGACTCCTGGGCCATCCTCTCCTGTTGTAGAATTTATCTCAGCATTAGGTTTCTTCCATCTCTCATCCTGAAATTCTTCCTGTGTGACAGTATTTTAAAGGTCAAGGATTGAACTTCCCTCAGTTCCTCTAACTTGGGACACAGATGGTTCTTTCTGGAATACAAAGATAACTGAATTATGTTCATAGGAATAGAAAGATGAATTCACCAGAATAAAGCTTGATTTGCACCATTGGGACCTCCTATGATAGATACTCATCCACAAGGAAGCTATATAACTTCTGAGACAGTGTCTGTGTGTGTGTGTGTGTGGGGGGGGATCACATAGTGCTTTTTTTTTTTTATCACCATAAGAAATGCATGTCCTCTTCCCTGCAGTGATTAAGTATGAATTTTATTAACTATTTGGTAACACAAATGCCAATATTTCTGTAGTATTAGATACAGGAGAATGAATAATGCAGCCCCAGTGGTAAACATGAATTAAGTTTGGAGAGAGGAGTGTAAGTTAGAAGTTGCAAGGTCTAGGAATGATTAGTGTGTACTCCCAGAGGCCCTTAATAATGAAAATGCATGGCTCGGTACTGGGTGTTCGGTTCTTTTTGCTCTGCATTGTACAAAAGTATAGCTTCTACGGGTAACACTCATCTCCATCACCCAGATGACCACTTTCTGAGATAACTGTTTATCCAGCATATATGCAGCAGGCAGGCAGGCAGGCATTTTCACTTTGCAATACTGCTCATGGTGGAGTTTTATCTAGTTGTACGTTGTACTATTGTAACTTATGGAGTCAGCCTGGAAAGGTCCCCTTGCTAAGCTGAATGTAATTGTCTATTCCATGATGATTATAACAGAAGAAAACAAGGAAATAAAGATGTCTGTCCTTGCCTCTTCAGTCCAATTATGGTAGCTGTATATGTTCTGGATTCTACTTGAAAAGAAGAAAGCATCTAAATTTTGAGGTGCCTTTTGGCGACATGTCCAAAATATTGAAGTAAGAAATTCAGTTACTATGATTCATATTTGTGAATGAGTTCATTTGGCTCATCTCCCTTTTTAATACAGGTCTCTGTTTCTACGGAAATGAGCACGGTCACTACATATTGACAAAAAAAGGACATAACTATTGTAAATATTAATGTAAATAATAAGACACTCATAAAGTACTTCATTCTTATATATAGATTGGTCCTCCAAATCAATATACACAAAGATTCCCTAGAGATAAATACTCAAATGTCTACTGGACTTATTAAATATATCTATGGAACATTATACCAACACATAGGAAACACAGTCTGCTCAGTGGCAAAGACCTCTAAAATGAACCACATTATAGACCACAAACCAAGCATTTATAAATAGAAAGAAAGAAAAAAAAAAACCCCTGTTCATCCTATTGGAACACATGGGGGTAAAATGGAAATGAATAGAGAGACAAACATGGAAAATACACAATTGGTGACTAAACAGTACACCTCTCTATGAACAGTCACTCACTGAAGACATCAGAAGGCAGTCCTATGAAGAATGGCTGTACTGAGTTCTTTTTTTTTTTTTGTAGCCTGTCCTGGATCTTGCTCTGTAGACCTAGCCGGCCTCGAACTCACAGAGATCCGCCTGCCTCTGCCTCCCAAGTGCTGGGATTAAAGGCGTGCGCCACCACCGCCCGGCCTGAGTTCTTAACTTCAATATTAAAGAGGTCTCCAGCAAATAATCCAACAATGGACTTCAAAGTTGGAGAAAAAACAAGAAGTCAAACCAATAATAATAGAAATCAGGATGGAAGTCATGAAATAGAGACTTGAAAAGCTGTAGCTGGAAGTTTTCCTGTGTTCCAGCTGGCCGGCAGGCAGGAAAAATTTCTCCCACTCACATCCCCCAAGTAAACACACAGAAGCTTATATTAATTACAACTGCTTGACCATTAGCTCAGGCTTATTACTGACTAGCTTTTACACTTATATTAACCCATAATTCTTATTTATGTTTAGCCACATGACTTGGTACCTTTTCTCAGTTCTGTCTTGTCACCTTGCCTCCTCTGTGTCTGGCTGGCAACTCCTGATTCAGCCTTCCTTTTCTCATAATTCTCCTCATCTGCTTATCCCACCTATACTTCCTGCCTGGCTACTGGCCAGTCAGTGTTTTATTAAACAGGTCTTCTGTGTTTGGACCTGGCTTTACTAAGTGTGTGCAGCATCCTCTGACCATGTGAGACAAATCTTAAATTGCCACGTCAGCCATGCTAAGGCTCAGCTTAGAGCATGGCACTGCCACATGGTGCTAGTGGCTGGTTCCAGCCCACAGGTAGCAAACAGTAGCCACATCTCTGTATGCCAAGCACTGGTCCACCTGAGAGACTGCAAGACTCATAAGTGATATATGGCTCCTTGTCTGGGAATTTTCTTAGCTTTCTCAGGTCCTATGTTTGGATATTTGAGGCCCCACACTGGATGCCATATGTTACAGAACTTTTCTTTGGGTTTCCAGCTAACAAATAACAATAGGGAGACTAATTATTAAAGCTTGGCCTTAGCTTAGGAGTTTTCCTAAGTATTTCTTATAACTTTAACCCCTATTTTTAACCTACATTCTGTCATGACTTGTTACCTCATCTCTCCATATTTCTGCTTCTTCTGCACCTGGCTGGCAACTGCCTTTCTTCTTCCCAGCATCCTCTCTGTCCCCAGAAATCCCACCTAACCTCTTCCTGCCTAGCTAGTGGCCATTCAGCTCTTTATTAAACCAATCAAAAGGCATCTTTACAGCATCAACAAATATTCCACAATAAGAAATCCCATGGTTTGACTTCTTAAAACACTTATCAAGGTACATGCATTAGTAACTGCAGACTCACCTCTTATGAAGAACAAGGAATATTGTGATCCTATACATATGCTTTTAAACTGAATCTGTTTTGTGTATCATGTGTGTGTTTGCTGTGTGCAGAAGCCAGTAAGTGCATTGGATCTCTTGGAACTGGAGTTACAGATAGTTGTGAGCCTCCATGTGTACCTGGGGATCCAATCAGAATCCTCCTGAAGAGTGTCCAGTGCTCTTGTCCATCTCAGCACCATTTAAACTGTTTGTGAAAATATAAGGAAGACAATCATTCTAGTTGGTTGCTTCTACAATTTCTGGAACATGTGAAAAAGGAAAAAGAGCTGAGTGAGGAAATTAATTGGCTCCAGATTCACATACACATATATCATATTAATGGAACACATGAATCCCCATGAGAAAAGTCAGAGTCTATATAAATGTGAAGGTGGAACACTACAGTAAAAACTAATGCAAAACATTAAATGCAATAAAGGTATGATTATTTCTCAAAACCTATAATTCTTTTTTAATTTGATAAGTCTCATAAACCCCAGATTTGGCTGAAATTTCCTGTGCAATCATTGATGACCTTGTACTCCAGATCTTCCTGCCTCCTTTCTACCTCCTAAACACAGGATTTTATGTTAGCATCACTACACTGACTTACTATAATATTCTGCAATTCTTAGTTTTCTTGTTGCTCTGATCAGTTTTCTGACAAGCCACTGAGGAAAGGAAAGGGTGATTCTGACCATAGTTTGAGGCTATAGTCCATCTTGGCAAGATGAGCTCAAGGTAGCACTGTATCCAAAATAAACAGAGATATGATGCAGATGCTTATTTATGTTGCTTTCTTCTCCTTTTGTTCTAAACAAAATTTCGCCTAAAAGGGAAGCTCTTGGAATGTGCTGCCCGCACTTAGGGTAGACCTTCACACCTTGACCAGTCTGGATAGTACAGAAATGTAGACTACAGCACTCATACTGGAAGGTCGGCATTATCCAGGCATAGGCCATCATGATCCATGCATAGGCCAGCATGATCCAGGTCACCATCCTGTTCAGAGTTCCTTAGATAATGCTGGGCTGAGTGAGGGTCACAACTGAATCTAACTAGCACATCTTCATTTGCAGTTTTTGTCACAAATGTGAATTTTTATATTTATAAATAATTGAATTATTCTTTAAGCTTTAATGATACTATTCATGTACATAATTTCTCTTTGAAGTCTCTGAGGATGTTTATTTATG